CGCATAGCATTGTCAATATTCTAGTACGCAGCTACTAGATGACAGCATACAGCTTATTTTTTATTTCATTTAAGCTCGATAGACGGTTACATGGTTCAACTTAATTGTTTTTAGTTTTCCCAACACCATTTCGGAGAAGGTTCGGAACAGTTACTAAAAAATATTGCATTTTTGAGCAGCCTGGAGCAGCATTTCTCTTTTGAAACGGCATTGTGGCCAGTGTTGCAGCCATGGACGGAGCACATGGCATTGCAGATGCCACAGCGGATGCAGACAGCATCAAGCACACAGGTGGCCCGAGGCCGTTTGGACCGGCTCAGGACTTTTGAATCACTAGCGCGTGACGTAACCGCCTATGAGCCGAGGCGAACGTGGGCTACTGGCAAATGGTCACCACTTGCCAGTGGCCCATGGGCAAAGCTCACCATCGTATCGGACAGTGTAACAACATTGACTGATTGATATGTGGAGTTTAACATCCCAAAACCACCATATGATTATGAGACGCCGTAGTGGAGGGCTCTGGAATTAGGATTACCTGGGGTTCTTTAACGTACACCCAAATCTGAGCACACGGGCCTACAACATTTCCGCCTCCATCGGAAATGCAGCCGCCGCAGCCGGGATTTGATCCCGCGACCTGCGGGTCAGCAGCCGAGTACCTTAGCCACTACACCACCGCGGCGAGGCCGGTGTAACAACAGCTGTAGGCCCCCGGCTTCAGATAAGTGTTCATTTGGAGAAGGCGCCAGACCACCGTCTGCTGCTTTAGTCAGCAAAGCATTGACTTGCCTACAAATACACTAAAGGCAACTCTGGTGCTAGTGTCTACGGGAGCTCCAACACACGATGCTTCAGCCAGCGTGGCAATGATGAGCAGCACACAGATTTGTCTAATCTTCGTTCTTTTGGCTTCATGTGGCCTGAACTTACTTTGCCGCAATATGCAGTTAAGCTAAAGATTAGGAGTTATGCTTCACCAAATGGGCCCGCCGATTCAAATCGGGTGACGAAGTTGAAAACGGTCCTGTCTTTTATTCGAAACAAAACCGAAACACGACAGCAAAACAAAGCCACTAGTGCGTATGAAGCTGCAAGCACGAAGACTAGGCAAATCTGTGTACTTCCCATAATTTTATAATGGCTGAATGGTCGCAACGCCAGTGTCCACTCTACCGTAAAATGCTGAGGAAGCACCCCTACCCGAGCGAGGACCCCCCTACCTTTTTTGGGAAATCTGAAATAAGCGTCAATGACCAACTGGGTGTTATCTTACCATGTTTATTTATGGCTGCTACTGCCATTTTTTGGGCGTGTGGTCCTGGACATTTGCATATCCAGTTCTGAGAGTCTTTACCCTCTCTGCACACTTTGCAATGTTTTGCTCTGGGTGCATATCTCTTGGAATTAGTAGAACGTTTATCCCTTTGCGTATACCTCGTGATATACCGGCCTTGGTTCTCTCCTGCATTGCATAGCCTACATAATGGCATTCAAGAATCTTCCTGTTAGTGCTAGTCTCTCATATTGGGCCGTTTTGCGTGCTTCTACTAATTCATCTAGGGTGTTGGTCAAACAGGTGAATGTCACAAACCAGTGCTCAAGAAAGCGCATGCCTCCAATTTCTAATGGCTGCGTAAATACCAGGCACTAATGTGAGATGACAGAAGCCAACCCAACGAAGAAACAAGGACAAAAAAATGCCGCGCACGCTCTTCCCCTCCCCTTCTAAACAGCGGCCATCCCACCAACAGCAGTATCAGATTCAACGCCGAGGGAAATCCAGAAGCATCTGGAAGGAATGGGTGATGCAATGCAGTGTCACGCCACGACGTGTGAAAACTATGACAAAGATGTCGCCCTTTCACTAACATTGGCAATGCCTAGAGATAAAAGACCTGGAAGCTTCAAGAATATCGTGGCAAATGGATATAAGCAAGCAATATAGGGAGGCGAGCAGGAGAGAAAGTCAGTATGTGATGTAGCCAGTGTGAGAGTGCCTGTCCTGCAGTGACAGTGCGTGAGTGGCCGATGGTGATTTCGGCAAAGAGGTTTTGTTGATGAAGTGCCATCAGCCGATCTGGAAGACTCAAGTGAGAGTGGGGAAGTTCTGGGGGCAATGTGAGAGTGGGGAAGTTCTGAGGAGTGCTTCCTGGAAGAGAAACCTTGGATAAACCAGACGACGACTAATGCTGGATTTGGTGCGAGTCCCTCCCGGAAAGGAGACATTCTAGATTATTAGTCCAAGAAATTTGGACTGAATATGCTGAATCAACATTCGAGTTTTTAGCGTTCTTAGTTGGTAATGCATGAAATTGCATTGTAGCATGAGTTGTTAATTGCGCCCCTTGTTGTGAACGTATCGAAGCACCTTGGTAGTTGCACTGTACTTGATAACTGTCGAGTGTGCATGTTTGTGTGTTGTTTACACTGCCTTCACAATGAATATATTTTGTTTTGTTATCAACTTTAAGATCTGACCAAAGACCGACCGTTGTTTGTGCCCGTTGTGAAAGTACACTCAAACCTCGGTAAAACAAAGGGGAGCCACAATTATTTTGTTATATCTATTATTTATTTATATGGATTATAACAGTTTGTGGCAATGTATGCTCAGATGGGCGCACACCTATAAGCATGCAAAGAAGGAAACCGCCTCGCGGCCCGATGAACCGCTACGCGACCAGGCGTGCGACGGAAAATAAACACAGTCGAATCTCATTAATTGGAACATGCTTAATTCGAACTTCGGTTACTTCGAACTCGCGCTGTGGTCCCGTCAAAGCTATATGTATTCCAATGGATGAAAACGCCCTGTAATTTGAACGCGCAAGCACTAGCGACGATTATTTCGAACATACCGTCCTCCTAAAATGTTCTCAGCGCCATGCCTAATCCCACGGCGGCAACTCTCAACGCTGCACGCGAAGACAAAAGAAAAGGAAAGAAAAGACTGTGGCGGATTGTTTGCTCTTTCTCAATGCCGATCTGCGACGCGCCTGTGCCACGCTTCTCCCTTTTCAGTCTCTGCACGTAGAGACCCTTCTCATTTTAAGGTCGCACACGGAGAGAGAGGAAAAAATAAGAACTGTCACGGAGAGTTCTCCTTTCTCGGTGCAGAGGGTAGCAGCGGAGACGCAGTCGTTGCCGTCCTCTTTAGAGAGTGTTGGCGCTGGACTTAGCCGGGCGCTACTATGCTTTGCCAACTGCGTGCGTAATTGATTGACTTGCGGCAACGTGTGCAGACGCGCATCACCAATTACTTCAATTAATGACGGATGTCCTCTGATTTGTGAATAAATGTAAGTTTTTTGAAGCTTCCCCATCGTTTGTTCTTAAGGGGGCAGATTGGTCTTCGAGACCAAAAAGTGACGAAAAAATTAATTTTTGAAAATTCACATTTTTGGTTTTAGCAAGTATTTTTCTATATCTCTGCAAATTTTCACACACCAGGAAGTAGTAATTTTTTTGTCATGTCATTCTAACTGTCCAGATTCTTGATGCTGCCAACATGCAGAACCTGCAAAATAATGGTGAACTGACTTTGAGGCTTCTTTATAAATTGCCAGCACCTGTGTCTAAAGCTCTACTACCAATTTATGAGCGCCTTTATGAGGGTTGCAAAACATGCGCACCATGATAGTTGCTTTTTGAAGAAACTGTGTGTCTTCAGTTTTTTCCATTTTTCTCAAAAAAAATAAATTTATGACTATTCAATTTTGAGGCCTCAATATCTCTGCAGCTAGGGCAGGTACAATAATTCTTTTCGCAGTGGAAATCTGTATGTGTGTATAATGCAAGTATGGGAACAGAATTTAGAGCACAAGCCTTTTTAATTAATTACTAATCAAAATTTTAAGATAATTCCAACTGCTTTTGAAAATGGATAGTTCATTTTACGGCAAAATAACCAATGAAGGCCTAAAAACAAAAACCTCTTGCATACTTTCAATCTATAGTCATTAGTCTATGTTGGGATATCTTAAATATCACTTTTATTAAGCACTTTTTTTTCTATGACGGCCTTAAACAATAGGGGATGAACATAAATTATCTCAGGAAGAAGGTGAGTTACAGGAAAACTAATTAAAAATTAGAAATCAGCAGAAAAACTGCATAACCCTGTGCAGTTTGATCGTGATCACTGAAGAATAAACGAAAAATGTCTAAGACCAGTCTGCCCCATTAAGTGAGAGGGAAATCACTTTGCACCGCAGCGCCACTTCTCGGTCACGTGACTCGCTGAACGCTTCCTCAGTCCTCTCCGCTGGCTCTGAGAGGAGGACGGCTCTCTCGCCTGCACGTGGCGTGGCTGTAAGGTCAGCGCGGAAGTTTTGAAAGAGCCGCGCCAAACGAGCGTCAAACTCTGCAGAAAACGATGTATATAACACACATTGGTCGGTATTTTTTATAGACTAATTTAGTTCATCTTATATCCATTTTCTGGTCGATTTTACTTTGTTATAACAAGGTTTAAAATGCATGGTTTTCAATGGAGCTTTCAACAGGAATTTCATCTATTCCGCTATATCCCGTTACGTTTTAACGAGGTTTGAGTGTATCGGAGTACCTTGTGAGTTGTACTGTATTTGATAACTGCAGAGTTATCAAGTCTACTCGAAATGGCAGTGCCAGGCAGCTGAAAGCCACAGTAACGCCAATGGCCGGTTCCCACTGCACCCTGCTCTTTCGCCCAAGCACTGAAAGATAAGAGGAGCCACTGCTTGGGCACTCCTTTCTGAAGAATGTAGCATTTCCCATTTCACTCGCCTTTCCTCCTCCTCCCCCTCCTGCTTAAGGACACTGCACCATGCTCCTTCATGGTTTACAGAGACATGCATCTTTTCTATCCCCAAGCGATCACTAATGCACACTTTCAGCCCACCCACTCTCCCCACTAGAGCTCTCAAACTACGAAACAGACGGTACTGCACAAATGAACAGCCGACTTCTAGAGACTGCACTGAGCAGGAGTCTCTCGGACAAATATCAAAACACCGTTCTTTTGTCTGAAAACATTTTATTCCCGAAACGAGGAAAAGCCGGAACATAACTTGGGGGAAACAGTTGGGAGAACTTGGGAGGAACAGGAACATAATGTGGTAGTGATATATCACAAGAAACACAAGGAATAATGAACATAGGCATCTTATAGCAACTAGCAACTGTTTCTTTGGTCACTGTGCAGGGATAACTTGCAACAAATGTGTGCTACATCCCTTCCATACCTTGGAAGGTTGCTCATCAAAAACTCACCATAACTACTCGCTTGCAGTTGTTTGTTTTGTACAGAGTAACCAGCCATGCTACTTAGTGCCTGAACAGAACACCTCAAAGAAGGCCAGCAACACCTTTCAAAAATAACAAAATATACCATTTATATTGAACTCTCCTGAACCTGCCAACACCAAAATTATCTAGCTATTAAGCTTACAATCGCACAAACCATGCAATTTTTTTAGCATTCTCTGCTACTTTTTACCTGAATGCACATGGCACTAGCGTGAGACAGCACCCTGCAGTTGCTGAAAGGTCCACAATGTCATTATGGAGCTCCCTTAAAAACATATTTCGACCCCGAGGCACGGACTATGGGTGTGAATCTTTGCAGAAGTGCCAACACGTGACGTGTGCCGGAGTCCATCCAGCCGCTCCAGACCGTTGAGAAAAACGGATATGGCGTAGTCTTCATGCCAAGGTCAGAAGGCCTGTCCGCCCATTCATCATGGCCACGGGGAAACCCAATCGGCGCCTCGCCCGGGGCGGGAGCGCCTGCAATACGGTTTCCTGTAACATAGTCCCGCAGCTCATACAGTGACTGGCTGTGCATCAGCCTGTTCAGCCACAGACTGTGGGGTGACACATTGGGTATTTCATTCTCTCGAACCCTGGTGCACTCAAGTCCACCTGCGTAGATTAATGGCCCAAAGTAGAAGGCTGGAGGCACTCCATGCGGCTCCTCCTCGTCATAGATGTCCTTGTTGCCATAAACGGGGTGACATAGGAAGGGAAGGAACTCCTTTGGCAAGCTAGTTGAATACTTGAATACCACATTGTCAGTCATCGGTGTTGGGCATGCCTTGGAAATGCGGACGGCACTGGTAAAGTCCATAACTTGTGGTTCCCAGTTGCGTTGTGGAAAGAGTCTAAAAGGAAAAGGCACACCGCCGACAGTGGTGAGAACAGGGCCGTTTACTGCCTTGGCGATGACATCCTGAACCAAGTCGCCCAAACGTGGGATTCGCCCCGACCCGTCCCCAAACAGTCCTTTAAAGTGTATGGTTTCTCCACGTCCTGGCCCCTCGCCTGAGCTCCCAAGTTGCATACTGTCTGTGGCAACACCCATAGCAGAGTGCAAAATGTGCCAGCCGACAAAAAGTCGCTCGCTGGCGACAAACAGTATTGCAGAGATCAGCGGGTGGTCCACGTCGATGGTCGTCCCAGCGAATGGCTCGTCAAAGCGCCAGACTTTAGAGTTCACTGCACTCAGGGTGGTGATGTTGGGCAGTGTGATAAGTCCGTCAGGAGGCAAGGAAATATCTGCCCACACAGCATCTTTTGGAATGTGACTCATTCGGTTGCCAGGAGCAGCCCAACATCGGTACAGTAGAGGAACATCGTCATCATCAATATTGGATGGGACGATTGGGGGCGAAGGTTTTACGAAACCTTTGTCTGCAGAAGGCGTGACCGTTTGCACTTTTTGGGTCGCCATGATCCCTGCATGACTCATGGCAAACAGGGGGGCCTCAAGCACCCAACGGCCCACATTGTCGAAGAGACCACAGGCTTGGATCTTGGCAAGCACACACTTGATGTCCCCCCAATGATACCCAAGTGCCCAGGATGCTGCGAAGGCAGAAGCTGGCACGAAGTGATTCTGGCCTGGCTTGAAGTTGACAGGAATCTCGGAAAATGGAGGCCAGAATTCCACAGCAGAAGGGCCCATGGTTGGATACAGTGCAAATACTGGAGGCTCAGCATCCTCACCAAATAACGAGCACATGGGGTACTGGTGAAGGACAACATTTAAACACAGTTCTCCAGGCACAACGGTGGTGGCACCGTACCACGTATACATTTGCTTGCGTGGAGTGGGATCACCATCCACCCCAGTTTCCAACACAATGCTCATGTTGCCCCATGGCCAGGGAAGCAGGCTCATCAGGTAGACTGCCGCCTCGGCAAAGCTGCTTGCCACTTCAAAGCATGGCGGCATGATGAGGTAGGGCTCACCCCTGGGGACACACTGCACACTGGCAAAGAATCTTATCTGCCCACGCTGCCATCCACGGAAGAATGGGAAGGCTGGCCGAATCAGGCCCCCACAATCCTCGTCAGGCACACCAGAGCTGTTGAACAGGCGCGTAATAGTTGTATATTTCTTGATGAACACATCAGGCTCATGAACTTGTGATTGGCCAGTGAGGATGTTGTAGCAACACGCTGCATCTGGTATGCCATATTCGGCCCATGCCAGCATGAGTCCTAGCTTGAAGGCACTCGCCTCACATGTCGTAGGAGAGGGAGGAGGGTGAAAAGACAGCTTGTCAAACTCAAGTACAAGGGCACTTACCGTGCTCTCCATGTAGTGACGCCATTGTTCCTTTGCCAACTGAGTGCAAGTAAGGGCAGTGCCTTCGTGGGCAGCCATACAGGCACTGTAGACAAAGCAGGGGGGGCCCCAGCGCCGAATGCATGATATCGAATGTGTGCCGTTACCCTCCTGTGGAAACCACTCGCCGACAAGTGACACTCTGGAATCGTCATGCAACATCTGTGTGGGACTTGTCTTGGTATACAAGGCTCGAAGTGCCACTGCATCACATTCTGGTACGATATCACCACCCAAACGGACCACTGCTGTGTCTCCTGTACCTTTCTGAGTTACCGTGATGGGGATGCGACAGGCATAAGTCAAACCACTTTGAGCGCCATGTTCAGGCACTCCCTTGCCTATGACAATGGCTACAGTGCCCGGCCTATGAAGAAATGGGTAGTGACCTACATCGAACAAAGGAAAAGCCACACCTTGCCCCATTGCTGTGGATGAACTGAGCACTTCACCGGAGCGCCCAACTGCGGCCACAACTACCTCGGGGATGGTTGCTGGCCGTCTTTGATGGGCTGCACTGCTTGCACCTTCTACTACTATCGGGGGTTGCGTCTGGGTGTTTTCCTGTGTAGAGCCTTCGGCAAAGAAAGATGGGCTTTCATTGGGTTGTGCTTTACCTGGGCTGAACTGAGCAGGTGGGAATGGACCCTCTTGAGCTTTGGGAGAAAGGCTGTCAACTAGAGAGCAGAGTTTTTGGGAAGCTGCAGAGTCAACGTGCTTTCCACAGCTGTCTTCACGCATGATGTCGCCAAAACAGAGTTGTTGTAAGGTGCTGCGGACACTTGTGGGGTATAAAACTGTCGTCCAACTGCCATCCCTGAAAGATTTCATTCGGCCATCTGGATTAAGGTGCGAACAATGCATGATGGTGGCAGTATTTACATTTGTGCACACAAAGCCGTTGGGGAGCATGGTCGCTGGACTGACATCTGCCCAAGCGCCAACATCTGCCAAAGCACCAGAAAGCATGTTTGTGCCCTGCCCTCCTTTATCTCGAACCCAATCGATGAAGGGAAGTCCAGACACTTCTTCATATGTCCTCGGGCAGGTCACAGGCCCGGGGTTGTTTTCAACGTCCCCATCAACACACAAGTCACGAACCCAACCTGTGAGCCCAGTAAGTTTCATCAAGTCGGAGAATACACATAGGAACCAGAACATGCTGACGAGGGATATGCAGCAAGGCAAGCAGCACAAGACACAGGAAGGTTCCACTGTCAACTTGTTGTGCTCCATGCCCCAAGACAGTCTGCAAAGCCATGAGCGGAATTCTTCCATCAGGGCGCACGCAGCAGGATCAAAGTTACCGCAAACAATAGTCACTACAGTGCCATGACCTTCGATGCCTCGGGATAACAGACGGGATGCTGTGTGACCCAAAGAGGCCTTGCCATCAGCCTTTTGAGACCCCTGCAATTCACCGGATGCAATGGCAGTGTTGCAAGTCAGGCGCAGTTCATCATATGCCTTCTGTCTATAATTACACTCAATGATCCCCTTACGCGGTGTACATGTACTACACGGACACACACACTGCAGTCCACTTGTGCTTGTACTGGTGATACAAGCTATGCTACATCCTTGCTCCGAGTTCCAATGAACAACATATGTCTTATCATTGTCCAAGGTGCCTTCCATGGAGCAGACGGAGTGCCCAAGGCCAGTGCCATGCCGGAAGAGCTGCGCAGGATCAGAAAGGGTCGTCAGGTGCTTCCTTGTCCCCAGCAGCTACACCCAGCCCCATACATGCTAAACATGCATTTCTCTTGGGAAGGCATTGCCTGGTGCCTCTGAATTATTGAACTGGCCTAACTGGCTCACATGATGAACTTTTGAACAAAAAGCAGGGGGCTTGCAGTGGGGTTGAATGAAGTGGCTGACTGAAGTAAGAGGGGTGGCAGAAGCAGTAGTGGGTGTGGTGGTGAGCTTTTGGAGTGGTCAGTAGTGGGCATGATGGGAAGAGTAGTGGGCGTAGTGGTCAGTTGTGGTAATAGTGAGTCGAGAGAGTGGTGAGAGGAGTGGCACGTATCCCTAGGAGATTTACCCACTTTCCGTGGTAACCGCACTGCAATTTATGATGGTCCTTGGACCTGAAAGCCTCCACCAACAGCAGCCTCCCCATAGAAACACTTATGAAAACACTTGGACGCACAGTCAAGGCTTTCCTAATGATCAAAAAGTAAAACTGCAAATGCTACTTACACTCAAAACTGGCCTCAGGAGCCCCATACAGGGGCCAATACAATGAAAGTACTACATTCATACCTCAATATAACGAAGGTGGATATAACGAATTATCGGTTACAACAAAGTAAATGAAGAATAGCTCTGTCATAGATACAGTGGTGCAAATTTATTTTTATAGCGAATTTTCAAATTTAACAAAGTATTTCTAGCAGGTGTGATTTTGTTATAATGAGGTTTGAGTGTATTCAAACTCTCACAGAGTCTCTACCAATTTGATTTTTACAAACTCCCTGACTTCTCCAGCTTTTCCATGATGATTAGAAGCACATTCCATAACATGTTCGGAAAACTGTGCACTGGAAATAAACCTTCGAATGGTAAAAGAAATCTGGTGCTCATATAAAACAAGTAAAACAAACAAACATAAGGACACTACTACACAGGTGAACCATAAAGCATTATATCATATATTATTATCATCATTATCATCATCAGTATTATTGCAGCATTCAGAAGCCTTGAAGGGTTATCACAGGCACGGTGGACTCAGTAATTCAAGGTCCAATGATTCAAGCTTACGATTAAACTAAGATGATAGTTTTCTGATGGACCGCACAAACTGCAGCTAGCTTAAAGAGCTTCACTGTTTAAAAAAAGCCTGAACAAAGACAACAGACTATAGACATACTTACTTTATTATTTGTGCTGGAAGATGACGAAGACGCAGCAACAGCTTCCTGGCTGGATGCCTGCTCTTCCAGAGATGATGGAAGGACACGACTAGGCTGACTTGGTGGAGGATCGGCTGCCACTGGCATCCCCTTTCTAGGGACCACGGGGCCCCAATCCTGAAAATAATAAACAAGCCAATAGGATCGATGCGGAATGTCGTGTGCGACAGTATACTGAAACACTTGTTAGAAACTATACAGAACACCAGGGCTAGCTTCACCTCAATGATTTACACTAACAGCCCATGAGGATGTTGTTAAAAACAGGGAACATAGTACGCGCCGAAAGAAGACAAAAATGAAGGATGCCATGTGGCACTTTAGGTTTTTTGGCTGGAATAAAGGGCAGCGTTCAGATGCACAGTTCGATCTCTCCAGGCATATCTGTGCTTAAAACCCGGTTCATCTGCGAACGAAGTCTTCAGATTTTACAGATCCTCCATATGCAGAGGCGAAAATACACTCCATTCATGGACAGCATCTCAAAACTATAGTTGAGCGAAAGACAGGCAATTCTTTTGAGGGCATCAATTTTTTTCGTAGACACAACCATCAAACAGTTAGGCCAGAGCAAGCATAAAGGCCATTGAATGCTGCCTCTATGTCACAATTTTATCTCGACAGCACTCGCAGTGCATGGAGTTGGGAGAGAGACGCGAGTCTGCGGTGACATGACAAACACATTTTAAGGGGAGATGCTACTTGAAAAACGATTTTCTTTAATAAGAGTCTGAATTTAACACAAATTGGCATGCTGATAGAGTTTTTTCTCCTCTTTTCAAATATGTCATTTATTTTCATGTAGATTGCTTGGTTTTCTTTCTGCAGGTCAGATACTGCAAAATTATGGCCATTGTTATGCAACAATTCTGACCTATAAAAATTCGAGATAAAGCATGCAGATATAGCTGACTATGATCCTTTGGAACTGTAGAGTGCAAAAAACTATAAATTTTGTGTGTAAAAAGGTGAAGTACAGTAATAAAATAGAAAAATTTACTTTGGCTCTAGTTGCCAAGGGCTTTCAATGTTATATAATTTTTGAAAAACATAATCAAGCAGCACTGCCAATCTGAATAGATACTTGCACTCTATGGGCCTTCATCATGCTATGTACAAAATTTCATAGAGGTATGACAATTCTAAGTATACGAACTAGCGTGTATAAGAAGCACAGATCACACAAAACTGCAAAAGGAGAAAAACGCATTTGAAAGTTTGAAACCTTTTTTTTTTATCACAGAGTTGTTAGAAATGCATAATCTTTGGCCATAATGTTCAACAGAACTTTGAAAAGCACTGCAAGTTTCTAGAACTGTCCTCCAGCATAGGTTGTGCCCTCACGGTCTTTGCGAGCACTCTCTTCTAGCCGTGCCCTTTTCACTCCACGACGACGGTGGGCCCTTGCTTCTGCTGTCAGACGCTCGGACATTCTCTTGATGCGCCTCGCATCGCGGGAATCACTGAAAGTAACTAGATCTCTAGATGGCAGTATGTTGAGCTCTTCCAGGATGTGCTCGAAAGTAGCATGACCCTTGTTGAACCACAGGATTGCCATAGCTGCGGCAGTCTCGACAACCGTTCGGGAGACAAACTTAGTCTTGGGGCAAAGTAGCCAAGTTTTGCTCCCTTTGATGCATCGAGCAAGGAGCTTCTCATCCGTTAGCCTCTTGTAAATGGGCAAAACAGCCAATCCCTGTGCTTTTGTCAGGAGAGGTGTGTGGCGTGGTGCAGGTTCACCAAGTGCTTTAGCGCGTTGATGTTTGTACCACGATTCTGTTCCTGCAGGGCAAAACTTGTGGCTGGCAGCATTGTCAGTAGAGCATGAGTGGAAGTACGAAGCCCATACTGTAGTGTACATATCCCGTACACTCCCCCTGTTGCTTGTTATGGCAATCTGATAGTATGTTTGGATCTTCTGAATGGCTGGCTCTTTCATTTTCTGCCCTCGTGGTAATGGCACATGCAGCTTCCGTAGCGCGGTGCCAAGTCTCTTGGCCACATGATTAGTGCAGTCTTCTTTTTCTATATTGACAGCACCATAGACTTTTGACTCTGCGACTGCACTATATGCTTTGCTGTCACTGTCACTCAAGAATGTCATGAAATGCAGTGGGGTGTCATAAGTCAATGTTCTCTGCCAAATGCGCATTGCAGCCTCCGTTTCCATGGCATGGGAGGAACAGTCTACATTTTTTTCACAGACTGGGCCATGGAATGCCTGCCACACTTCCTCGTCTGGGCCCATATCCTTGTGCCTACTGCATGTCAGGCAGTAATTTGTTATGACCTCGAAGTCTAAGCAGAGGCCAGTATCTAAGGAGATAACTGCGCCAATCCCGTTGTGGCTTTTGTGGCCCCTCTTCTGCCAAGTGCCGTCGAACATAACAGCCACATCAGCTTCGCCTGCTACTTCTTTCGTCAACTCTCTGGATCGGCACAAGTTTTCACTCACAGCTGCCATGGCAGCGGTGTGCACCTTCTTTGCTATCGAAAAAAATCCTCGGTGGTGCATTGGCTCTGGGAGTCCAATAATGGAGCAAAATCTCGACAATTGCTCATGCCCAATGCCGACAGCGCGTGCAGCCACCACCGCCTTCACATTTACAGCAAAACTATCTCGGGAGCTCCCACTGTCGTACCGTTGGCTCACTCGGCTGCTGCCGTCCGCCGTAACACGCAGTGACGTATAGGAGCACGAAAGAACAGTCGCTGAGCATTCGCTGTTTTCGCAATGAAGTTCGAGGAGCGACGAAAGTCCCTTGCGCTTTTCTGCCGGCTCCCGAACAGCAAGTTTTTGAATACCGCAAGCAGGGCATGCCGCACCTGCCACAAGTGCCGTCAGCAAGAGGGTGTCGCACAAAACTGTCGTTGCACAAACCTCATCGCGCTGTCTTTCATCTTTTTTGAAGAAGCCGAGCTTCTTTTCCGAAGCACTGACGAAAAAAAGCGCAGCGTCAATCCCTTCATCGCAGCCACTGTCGCTCGCGCACTCGTCGATGCCGCCGTCAGGCCTAGCACACGTAGGCGCATTCTCGTTCGTCGCCGTCGTTCGGGGCGCTTTACGCCGCCTTCCCTTGAACTTGTGCTTCGTTCGAAACTTCTGCGGTCCCACGTTGCACTTTTTCGGGCTTGTCATTGCAGAAATATGCGTAGATGCGCAGAAAAGCAGACGGACCAAATGCCGATGGCCGCCACCAACACAGCTGACAATGACTCGGTAGCCAATGGCGATGCGGCTTAGGGTGCCGCGCATTTCAAACCGCTCAAACCATGTGATAAAAAGGCCCCGTTTTTTATTTATTTTTTTGCCCACGTACGAAACTGGCGGTCGTCGGAGCTGTAAGAAGAAGGCCGGATGCAACTTTCCCAACCGATCGCGATGGCGGGCGGCACTGCAACGGGGAGCAGCGCGCAGTCAAAGATGGCCAATATCGGCGCAAATTCACGAAATTTTGAACCACCTTTATGCCTTCATACACATTTTTTGCATTTTGCGGTTCGAATTTAGTTTTGAAATTTTCACAGATGAAAGAAGAAGGTTTGAAGATTACAATGCAATAAAAATCAGAAATAAGAGAAATTTCGCTAAAGACGTGATTTTTCGACTCGCATCTCCCCTTAATACTACCCAAAATGGCAAACAATCCGACACTTAAAGTTCGCCCCAAAAAAGAGACATGTATGCAATAATCAGCTAAATCAAAGAAGCAGGAACTAACACCAATCCAAGTGAAGTTCAGCCGGAAGCGTAATCTGCATCTGGTTCCTCTCTAGCGCGAAATGGCATTTCCGTGGCTACTCTCATGCGATCCCACAACAGTAAAACATTCTTACTGTTCAGATGCTGCCTTCGGAACTGTGACGAAGTCACAGTTCCGAGGGCAGCATCTGAAAGACATCGCTGAACGAGCTGCTCATCTTCATTGCTGGTGTCCCGGTTTTATTCATCATCTTCGGCCCTACCAGCCCCCTTAAAACTAACTTGCCAAGGATGACACAACGCCTCTGACAAAGATAGGTCCTCCTATCGAGAAATCGGTCAGCCTGTCTGAGGCACTTCCATGGTTCACCCTTATACTTCACTACTAACCCCCTTAAAACCAGCACGCCAAGGATGACAAGGCGCCTTTGTCAAAGATAGGTCCTCCAATTGAAATGACAGCCAGCCTGTCTGAGGCACTTCCACTGTTCACCCTGATACTTCACCATTAACCCCCTTAAAACCAGCATGCCAAGGATGACACAACGCCTTTGTCAAAGATAGGTCCTCCTATCGAAATGTCGGCCAGCCTGTCTGAGGCCCTTTCACTGTTTACCCTGATACTTCGCTACTAACCCCCTTAAAACCAGCACGCGAAGGACGACACAGTGCCTTTGACAAAGATAGGTCCTCCTATTGAAACGGCAGCCAGCCTGTCTGAGGCACTTTCACTGTTCACCCTGATTATCCCGCTACGTTGTTTCCATCTTTCAGCTCCCATCTTGATTGTGGTCTATAGGTGAAACTTCACTACAATGAAAATCTTCAATCATACATTTTTTCGCACATCCCATCAATTTCGTTGTAGCAGGATTCGACTGCGATAGTAAGAAAAAATCCACGCTGCCATGAAGCCATACTTCAAGGTCCAGAGTGAAGTGCCGGTAGATTAAAACACATCAAAAATTTTTATACGATGACTGATGCACACAATAGAGCCTTTTTCATATAACCCGCAAGTGTGCTTCGCTTGACTGCATATTCACCCAACTAATGGTATCATCTGTTGAGCTTCAGTTGGAGATGAAGTCCTAGCTGCCCGGGCTGGGACCTGTCAATCACGCGTGTTTATATCAAAAGAGCTAGGTGGGCAGACGAGATTAGGAAGATTGCAGGTGTAAAGTGGCAGCAGCAAGCACAGTACCAAGTAGAATGGCGGAAGAGCCAAGATGTCTTGGTCTAAACATATCGAATACACCTGCAATAAAGCTTTAGAGAAACTGGGCTATTTAAATTGTACATTAAAAATACTCGTCCGAAACGATATTGCTCACATATAAAGCACTCATCCGTCCAATCCTACCCTGCCTACCCTGTATGGAACCCTCATAAAGTATCTGACATCAACACACTG